TTTTTTCTGTTTACCTGACCGATATGTATGTACTTATTGACACCATAATCTATATAACCAGAAAATGTTAATAAAGATTGATTATAAAAGGAAAAAAAAACTGAGAATATTATAAATGCCATTTTTTAACTTAATGTTATTGAAAACTACTATTTTATTCCTGTCTAAAGATGCTGAGATGTTTAGAAGTGCCAAAAAATTCAAATGCAACTTCCTTACAATATGTGCATACAAAGGTGTTCTTTGGAGAGTTGGTAAACAGATTGCCCACACAAATGTAATTTTTTGCCTTTGTGATTTGCTCACTGACATCCCTCAAAGTTTGAATTTGGATATACAGTAAGTTACATTTCAGGCTTTCCCTCCAATGAGAGTATTATTTTTTGGTGAGATGCTCTCTAAAAGTCATTCTATGCAGACACTGCTGATCTTTTTATTGTAACACTGAGATTGCTCAGGTGGTGATTATAATGGCAGACCCTCTCAAAAGAGGGTGCATGGTGAAACAAGCAGCTCTTTCTTCACAACAGAGAAAGGATCAAATTTGCAAAGTATGACGTGTTTAGTTTATCTTGTGAGAATGTTTTTTTCAAAAAAAAAAAAAAAAAAAAAAATAGACTTCAAATTTAATAACACAATTACAATAAAAAAAATTAAGCGCATACCCCTGAAGGAGCTGCTGTAGTAATGTCCAGGTCTTCCCTAACTTCGTCCCGCAGCTAGGCACAGCCAGGTGCACACACACACACATTTTCGCTTGTTGTCTCCAATAATCAGTCTAGGGGCTGTTGTTTTAGTGGTCTCATTATTGGGGAACTTGGATACGGATGGTGAATTTAGTAGGATACTCCAGGAATAGAAATAATTACAGTTGAGGACAGAACTTCCTTAAGTAGCAGCCTTGTGTAAAGTCCCAATGTTAGGAAGGGAGTTAAACGGACAGTGCTCTTCAGGACACCAACTGGTGTCCCCTTGTTTCAGGTCCACTCTGACTATAAAGCTCTAGAGAGGTAGCAAAGTACACAAAGTCCCCAAGATCCCACACTCACAAGGCCCTAGGACAGAATAGTAGCCTCCTTCCAATCTTCTAAGCAATCTCCTCCATTGATACCAGTTAGATCTTTGGCAGACAGCTTTCTGAAGAATCAGAGTCACTCTCTCTTACTTCAGACCCTCAGGTCACCCACCTGAGACTTCTTGAGATCACCAAGCTGGTGCAATCCTCTCCAGGAAAAACCCAGGGCTCCGTATGCCCAAAGAATAAATAACCTCTCCTAGCATCCTTCAGGGCTACACTAACTGGGATTGGCTGGAGTGGCATTATGATTCATACTGTACTCTGCATGAGTTCCACTTATACATCCAGAACCTTTCTAGGTTACTTGGATACAGAGGAAGTCAGCACCTGAACACACTGAGCAAGCACTACTAACAATTGCAGTTCTCTGTTAAGCAGAAAGTCTAATTCGATTTTCCCAGCAGTTCTCCTGTTAAGCAGAGGTGCCAACTATAATCTACTTATCCTCGAATTATCAAGATGGGCTGATGTCATAATAACTTGTATAGAATAGTTTTACAAATAGATATATTTCTAAAGTTTGATTAAGCTTGCTAAATGGAGTGATTCTTTTACTTTTGAATGAAAGACTCATACATATCTCCAGTGGAAATTATTATTATACAGTATTTATAAAGCGCCAATGGTTTGCTCAGCGCTGTACATTACAAAGGGGGACAGAACATGTGACAGAACAATACAATGCAAAACATGAGGGGATCGAGGGCCCTGCTCCTTGGAGCTTACAATCTAGGAGGGAGGGGATAGTGGTACAGGAGGTGATAGCTGTGGGGGATGGGGTGGTAGGAAGAGTGGAGGAGGTTGGCAAGTTAGCAGGGGGTGGAGTAGGCTTCCCTGAAGAGATGGGTTTTCAGGGTGCGCCTAAAAGAGAGGAGAGTAGGTGATAATCTGATGGGTTGGGGCAGGGAGTTCCAGAGGATGGGTGACACCCTGGAGGCGGGCATGGGAGGAGGAGACCAGGGAACTAGAGAGAAGGAGGTCTTGTGAGGAGTGGAGTGTGCATGCTGGGCGGTATTTGGATATTAGGTCAGTGATGTGATACGGGGCAGTATGGTGGACAGCTTTGTACGTCAGTGTTAGGATTTTGAATTTGATCCGTTGGGCAATCGGAAGCCAGTGGAGGGATTGGCAGAGGGGGGTGGCGGAGATGGAGCGGTTGGAAAGGTGAATGAGTCTGGCTGCCGTATTCAGGATCGACTGAAGCGGGGATAGCCAGTGGCGAGGCAGGCCAGTGAGGAGGGAGTTGCAGTAGTCGAGTCGTGATATGATGAGGGAGTGGATGAGCTGTTAGTGGTTTCTGGGGTTAGATACTTATTTAGATACAAATTTTATATTACAAAATGCAAGAATAATGTTAAAACCTTTTGATAGATTTTCCAACCCACTAATACATATATTTAAAACTTTTAGCTTCTAATAGAGTTTTCTTCATAAATAAAAGAATGGGCTAAACTGAGAATTATTTCTTTAGGCATGTTGTGAAAATAGATATAGATCTAAAGTTTCAACAAGCTTGGTGGATGGAGTTAAAGTCTTTAAAGCAGTACAGGATCAGCTGCTTGTTTTTTTTTTCTAGCGGGGAGGACAAAGCTCATACTCACCTGACCCACCATTACTCCAGAAAATCGTGCTCCCCCACGGTCCAATGGTGGACTGTTCCTGTCTATTGAGTATGCACTGAGTGTGCTGATATCAGAAACAGTTCATTTACTAAGCCACTGGACTGCAGGGGGGGGGGGGGGGGGGCAGAAGACAAAGGGACTGGTCTTGTGCGGGCAGGTATATCTCCTGTCCTCTCCCCTAGAGAAAAACGAGCAGTAAACCCATGCAGTGGGCAAAAACAAAAAAAAAATGTTTTATACACTCATTGGCCTCTTTATTAGGTACACCTGTTCAATTGCTTGGTAACACAAATTTCTAATCGGCCAATCACATGTCAGCAACTCCATGCATTTAGGCACCTAGATGGGGTGAAGATGACTTGCTGAAGTTCAAACTGAGCATCAGAATGGGGAAGAAAGGCTATTTAGGTGACTTTGAACTTGGCATGGGTTTTGAGTTACTGGGATTTTCTCACACAACCATCTCTAGGGTTTACAGAGAATGGTCCAAAAAAAAGGAACATGTTCAGCTGCTGTGTGGATGAAAATGCCTTGTTGAAGTCAGAGGAGAATGGGCAGTCTGGTCCGAGATGACAGAAAGGCAACAGTAACTCAAATAACCACCCGTTATTACGAAGGTATGCAGAATACCATCTCTGAATACACAGCACGTCAAACCTTGAAGCAGATGGGCTATAGCAGCAGAAGACCACACTGGGTGCCACTCCTGTCAGCTAAGAACAGGAAACGGAGGCTACAATTCACACAGGCTCACCAAAATTGAACAATAGCAGATTGGAAAACTGATGCTTGGTCTGTTGATTCTCAATTTCAGCTGTGACATTCAGATGGTAGGGTCAGAATTTGGCGTAAACAACATGAAAGAATGGATCCATCCTGTCTTGTATCAACAGTTCAGGCTGGTGTAATGGTGTGAAGGACATTTTCTTGGCACACTTTTGGCCCCTTAGTACCAATTGAGCGTCATTTAAATGCCACGGCCTACCTGAGTAGAGTTGCTGACCATGTCCATCCCTTTATGATTACAGTGTACTCATCTTCTGATGGCTACTTCCAAAGTACCCTTGGGATGTGGTGGAACGGGAGATTCACATCATGGATGTGCAGCCGACCAATCTGCAGCAACTATGTGATGCTATTATGTCAATATGGACCAAAATCTCTGAGGAATGTTTCCAACACCTTGTTGAATCTGTGCCAGGAGGAATTAAGGCAGTTCTGAAGGCAAAACTGGATCCAACATGGTACTAGCAAGGTGTACCTAATAAAATAGCCGTTGAGTGTATATTTATATGCAGTCAGCAAATTATGTTGTCAGCTTCTTTTCTTATGGTTTCTAGGCTTGCCTTGTAGTGGACCTTTCATTAACTTTACAGGTCTACATGACTGTTTTTATGACATCCCACAATATACAGCAAGTTCTGCTTGTTTTCAATAAAAAGCCATCTTTGAGCTTCAGTTGAGTACCTTTGTCTAGACTAGCTTTTTTGAACCAGGATTACATGGAATTCTAGGGTTCCTCCAAGGATGCTAGGGGTTTCTTGAGCAATGAATGCCTATTAGATAACCACTGCCAACAATGAACCTTTATCTGTAATTGTCGGATTGCTCCACAAATGTATTGAGCACGGGTCCTAGTGATTATCACACTAATGTACCTTGAGCTGTAGACACAGTATTAGCAGGGGTTCTCTGAGACTGGACATTTATTTTAGCGCTCCTCCATGCTAAAAGGTTGGGAAAGGCTGGCATAGACTGAGATGATGTTATCAGTTTGCTGCAGGCAGGAGGAAGCATGTCCTCAGTGTTCTCCTCCCCACTGATCAGACTACAACATTATAACAAATCACAAGGTGGGAGGCAGCAGCAGGGGCTGAACTGCACAGGCTCCAGGATTTATATGAATGCTCCGTCCTTCATAAAAGAAAAGAAGATGAAGACATTATCAGAGAACATACTGTGATAAGTGTTATGCCTATATCCAGAAAAACAATATCCCAGAAGGGAAAACAATGGGACTTTACTGGTACCAAGAATACAGAATTACTTAGAATTCATACATTTTATTTACAAAAATATTAAATAGAGTAACATTAAAAAGTAGGAGCTGTATGTTCCCCATGTTTTTCTGGATATTGGATTTTGGGATTTGGTATGAATTTGGAAGAAAAAAATATTTGGAAATTTTTGAAGTGTTATACTTAGACTTAACTTAAAGTGTTACAAAACCCAGGACCCTGCATTCACTATATGTGGTCTCCCCGAACCCTGCATTCTCTATATCTGGTCTCCCCGGACCCTGCATTCACTATATCTGGTCTCCCCGGACCCTGCATTCACTATATCTGGTCTCCCCGGACCCTGCATTCACTATATCTGGTCTCCCCGGACCCTGCATTCACTATATCTGGTCTCCCCGGACCCTGCATTCACTATATCTGGTCTCCCCCGGACCCTGCATTCACTATATCCGGTCTCCCCGGACCCTGCATTCACATATCTGGTCTCCCTGGACCCTGCATTCACTATATCTGGTCTCCCCGGACCCTGCATTCACTATATCTGGTCTCCCCGGACCCTGCATTCACTATATCCGCTCTCCCCGGACCCTGCATTCACTATATCCGGTCTCCCCGAACCCTGCATTCACTATATGTGGTCTCCCCGACCCTGCATTCACTATATGTGGTCTCCCCGGGACCCTGCATTCACTATATGAGGTCTCCCCGGGACCCTGCATTCACTATATCTGGTCTCCCCAGACCCTGCATTCACTATATGTGGTCTCCCCGGACCCTGCATTCACAATATGTGGTCTCCCCGGACCCTGCATTCACAATATGTGGTCTCCCCGGACCCTGCATTCACTATATCTGGTCTCCCTGGACCCTGCATTCACTCTATCTGGTCTCCTACAGAACACGGAATTGCATTTATTTTAGTAAATATCAATTGCTAAATACCTTTTCCCATCAGCAGTTAGAACTTGTGTCTTGTGACTTCAGCAGAGCACTGGTTAAAGCTTGTAAGAGGAGTTTTCTTTCTGCTCTAGGAGGATGCAAAACCCCTGACTTCTGTCTGGACAGTGCTGATCACATGTGCACTATCACAAGATAGAAAAAAAAAAAACCTCTCTAGGAAAACACACCAAACTGAGCATGTGCATGTGACTACGCGTTCAGTCTTTCTTATTAGGTTGACATTTTAACAAGAGGAGGGGCAGAGAAAACAGGACCATACAACTTTTTTACGCAGTGCAGAGATTTAACCCCTTAGGTTCCACAGTGAGTATAACAAGCATGCTTTACTGCATATACAGACTGATTGTACTGTTGTGGGTTTAGTAACACTTTAATCTGCATATACTTCAAATGAAAAAAAATACATCTGATGCTAGACCAACTTTAACTCATCTCTTTAAAACAACTTGTCGATTACAGGATTCTATAGCACCAGCTGAAATTTACATACACAGATTTATTATTCAGAGCAGTAACTCCTTCCCCTTTCTTTGTGACTCCCTTTTCAGATGGTTCTGCACAAAGTTTTGATCAGAGAATGACAGTCTGAAAGGAAATCACTTCAGATATGCTTTCTCTTTAGAAAACCCATAGTGCTCTGTGAATCCAGACTCAGGTGTAAAATATTGAATGCTTAGTTGTAAAACAAAAACCCCAAAACAATAACATATATTTAGACACTCATAAACAATTTCAAACTTGCATAAAATCAGGCGGTTTAAACAAATTCTGGATTTTGTTTTTTTTTTTTTTTTACTGAAAAACAATATTTTCTGCCTAATCACTTTCCAGTTGCAATCTGTGTATTAACATTTTTCAGGAACAGTGATGGTACACACGGATGTGGAAGGTATGTATGTTACGCTAACATGAAGGACTCCACTTCAAGTTACAGGAGCTGGCTAAGAAGCCTCGGGTGTGTGGATTAAAGTGGAAGCAGACTACCCAAGAACATTTTTCTGTGATGTACTAGTATGCACAGCACATTATGGTAGACATACTTAGCACACTCGCAACTCCATCGATGACACTTCCATCTTCTGGTCTTCTTCCAGGTCTAGAGTCTTTGGCCTCTTGATTGGCTGGGCTTGGACTACAAAACTCCTGCACATACAAACGGAGGTTACTTCATCCTGGCACAGAACCGTGCCAAGATTGTACAATGACCCAGGAGAGGGTGTCAAATGCCTTTAGATGTCAAGTGAAAGAAGGAACCCAAGATTTTGCAGGGAAATGAGATGTATCACTTTGCGGATGTTGTTCGCTGCCTGGTGACCTGGGACGAATCTGACCTGGTCCCTATGGATCACCTGGCACAAATATTTATTGATATGAATACACAAAATTTTGCCCATTAAAGCAGTGTTTTTGAAAGGATAAAACATGGGGACATGTGCTTGTTTTACGAACATGTATTGAATTTTTTTTTGTTCAGAAAAACATTTTAAAAGTTTAGCCCACCCAAAATGGATAATTTCACTGGCACCTTGTATTTCTCAGAGTTTCAGCAAAAGAAAAATACTGACAGGAAGGGAGAAACAAACCATTTGCCCTTTTTCATAACAATCCCACCGGAAAGTCTGAAAAAAATCTATACGCATTCATACAACATACATAGGAATAAATGTGACTATTGATAGTTTTGACATTTTATCATGATGAGCACCTAGCTTGAACAAAGCTCAAAGAGTGCTATACTGAATTCTAGATTGGCGTATTGTGAACTGGACAGGCTACTGACAGATCAGCAGAAGTAAGCAATCAGCTAATGGGCACCACAGAGAAACTGTACACGGTACCTTCAGAAAAAGGAACACGGTAATTGCACTAATGGGGCTCATCTACAAAAAGGGAGTATGGAACTGCCAGTCTCCTTGACTCTATAATTGATTCCGGTTTAGTTTTGTATGTTTATGGTAGACCATTGAATACTATCTTTAATGCTACCCCATCCACTACTCCTACCCCTATACTACTCCTACCCCTATACTACTCCTACCCCTACACTACTCCTACCCCTATACTACTCCTACACCACTACTACTCCTACACCACTACTACTCCTACACCACTACTACTCCTACACCACTACTACTCACTACACCTCCTACTACTACTCCTATACTACTACTACTCCTATACTACTACTACTACTCCTACTACTCCTATACTACCACTACTACTACTACTACTACTACTACCACTACCACTTGAAAGCCAAAGCTTTTCTAGCACTTTTTGTTTGAAATTGTTAAAATGTAAAAATCAGTATTTTTTGCTAGAAAGTTTTTTAGAACCCCCAAACATTATATTTATTTAAAAAAAAAACAAAACAGAGGCCCTAGAGAATAAATTGGTGGGTGTTGCAATATTTCATGTCTCACGATATTTGCGCAGTGGTTTTTTCAAACACAATTTTTTAAATATACAAAACACACTTTTTTTTAAATTTTAATGCAAAAAACAAAACACAATCCATAACCCAATTTTTGGTAAAATAGAAAAGATGATGTTATGCAGAGTAAATAGACACCAAACATGCCACACTTTAAAATTGAGCATGACTGCAACGGTGACAAACAATGAAAATGTTACTATCTATAGGCAACGCTTTGAAAGCCTTTACAGGTCACCACTTTAGATTGACAGAGAAGCTCTGGTGCTAGAATCACTTCCCGTGACCTGACATTTGCGGTGATACATTACATGATTTTTCAATTGTTTGATCACTTTTATTGCTGTCATAAGGAGTGTAAACATTACTTGTGACAGCACTAGGCATGTGACAGGTACTCTTTATGGAGAGATCTGGGGGGGTCTATAAGACCTCAAATCTCTTCTTTGCCCTTAAAAGCATTTGATCACACCAAGATTACATAGTTAGTCTGGCTGGAAAAAGACAAAAGTCCATCCAGTTCAACCACTAAAAAAAAAAAAGGTTATAATACTAAACCCACAGTTGATCCAGAGGAAGGCAAAAAAAACCCATCAATGCATGACCCAATTTGCTCCTGCAGGGGAAAAAAATTCCCTCCTGATCCCCCGAGAGGCAATCGGATATTCCCTGGATCAACTTTACCTATAAATGTTAGTATCCAGTTATATTCTGTGTATCTAAGAAAGAATCCAGGACTTTTTTAAAGCAATCCACTGAGCTGGCCAGAACCAACTCTTGAGGGAGTCTATTCCACATTTTTCACAGCTCTCACTGTGAAGAAACCTTTCTGTGTTTGGAGAATAATTTTATTTTCCTCCAGATGTAAAGAGTGCCCCCTTGGTGTGATCAAATGCTTTTCTTTTTAAAAAATGGCGCCATTTATATCCGGGTAAACCTGAAATTATGTAAAGTCATTGCTACCAGTTCCCTATATCATAGAGCTAAACGGAGCAGTTCCACAATTTGTTCGGCTCTATGATCAGCCGCAGGAAGCGCCAACTGGTTGACTGGGTGTCACAGTGCGACTGGACAGCCTGTTAAAGCCACAAAAAGGTGGTGGAAGAGTGGAATGCCCCCTCCCCCCCCACGCTGCTTGTAACAGCAATGAAGCAGCTAGTTAGCCGCTCCGATTGCTATTGCAAGAGATCCAATTGTCAGATGTATAGAACGGTACTGCAGCCTGCAGCTGCGGGCATCCTCCCACTATAACCAGTTCAGCGGCGTACCGGTACATTGCTGGACATCAAGTGCTACCACTATTAAAACTACTACCATTCCTACTAATACTGCAGCTTCAGCCACTTATATTACTGTTACCTCTACTGCTGTTATCACTACAGCTTCTTTTATAACTGCAATTATCTCTGTCATTACTACTACTACAATTACTATTGTCATTACATTTGCTACTATTGCCATTATTTTTAGGTCTCTTACTACTACTGCTTTTACAACACTCTACACCAAAAACATCAACACTAATACTAATTCCTCTGGATCAACTGTGGGTATAGGATTATAACTTTTTTTTTTTTTTTTTTTTAATGGTTGAACTGGATGGACATTTGTCTTTTTTCAGCCAGACTAACTATGTAACTACAGATATGTAATAGGACTCACCACCAGAAGTACAGCAAGGCACAGGACTCACCGGCAGAAGTACGGCAAGGCACAGGACTCACCGCCTGAAGTACGGCAAGGCACAGGACTCACCGCCTGAAGTACGGCAAGGCACAGGACTCACCGGCAGAAGTACAGCAAAACACAGGACTCACCGGCAGAAGTACGGCAAGGCACAGGACTCACCGGCAGAAGTACAGCAAAACACAGGACTCACCGGCAGAAGTACAGCAAGGCACAGGACTCACCGGCAGAAGTACAGCAAGGCACAGGACTCACCGCCAGAAGTACTGCAAGGCACAGGACTCACCGGCAGAAGTACAGCAGAACACAGGACTCACCGGCAGAAGTACAGCAAGGCACAGGACTCACCACCAGAAGTACAGCAAGGCACAGGACTCACCGCCTGAAGTACGGCAAGGCACAGGACTCACCGCCTGAAGTACGGCAAGGCACAGGACTCACCGCCTGAAGTACAGCAGAACACAGGACTCACCGCAGCAGAAGTACGGCAAGGCACAGGACTCACCGCCTGAAGTACGGCAAGGCACAGGACTCACCGGCAGAAGTACAGCAAA